TGAGAATCATGATACTATGACTTACATATAGCGTATTAATACTTATTTTTTTTTTTTGACTTAGACTCTAAAATTTTGTTTTGATTATTTAAATGAACAAGTTTGTTACCCTGATTTTCAATTGCTGACAAATATCTTCTATTTGCAGGACGCCCTTTGCTTTTATGTTGTAAAAGATTAGAAATTATTAAATTCTCAATTTCTTGACTTATGTCTTGTTCGAAAGCATTGTTACTGCTTTGTGCTAAAACTTGTTCATTAATAAAATGTTGCAAAAGATCTTTTAAAATCTTACTAGTACTGTTCATAATTGCTATATTTAATACTTTTTTACAAATTTCAAGGCCATGATCATAGCAAGCCTTTTTTGAATTTGACTCCACAAAAATTTTACTATTAACTTCTTGTTCACAAATCTTTTCTAATACTTTAAATATTGCAGTTGAGAGTGATTCACTTTTACTTTGTACTAATTGAATAGATAATTTTTAATCTTTATCAAATGAAGTAATATCCTTCTCAAAATACCAATAGGAAGATATTAACTTTATATTAAAAAGTGCTTTTTTCGATTAGATCATGATAGCAAAAAAATGTTGACAAACAAATCTAATATATATCAAATATAAGCAGATACAGTAATATATACTATCACTAAGTAATACAACAAATTGTGAATAGTTTGTAGCACTTTGGATATGTTTAACCTCCTATACTTCGATCACTATACTATCTGAACAATCCTCTAGAGCTATATTTAATAAGATCTGTGGTTCTTTATAGTTGTCTTCTATAAATTCTACTTTATGATCTGGTTGCTGACTAGTATCGACATTAAACTTACTACTATGAAATAAAATTCTATACAAAAAGCTTTCTAACATTTGTTTCTACTGTAAAGCTAATAAATTTGGTGTAAGATATTTTTTATACTTATCATTAATTTTCTTAAAAATTGTATTAGAAACATGTGGAAGTCCGGTAGTAGGATTCATATTTCTAAATTCTTGTGATTTTGCATATTTAATTTTATCTTTAAGCTGTAGCTCTATTTCAGCTTGAAGTTGACATAAAGAATTTTTCAAGTTTGCTTCTAACTTTATAAAATAATTTATGCTCTCGACATGTTGTGTCAAATAAGTATTTGCTAAAAATTTGCACTTCGTAAATACATATACCCAACACTTTTTAGTTGGATACAAACTCGATCATAATATCTTTGAACTTCTGAATAATTATTCATTAACTCCATCTAATGATGATCAAAATCTGATACTACAAGTAAATTTCGCAATACATAAAAATCAGAAATAAAATTATTCTACTTATTATGGAGCTTCTTCTTAAGCTTTTTAACTACACAATATGAACAACAGCTTCAGGGTATTTATTTGCTATAGCTACTTGCATTGCTAGATCTGTCTATAAAAATCATTGTTGATTAAAGACTATCAGTAGCTAATAAAGTTTGTTTTAAGATCTATTCATAAGTTAATACTGTTTTGTCAGAAACTACAGCTATCACTGCAATACAGCTTCTGTTATTTGAATCAATTACAACAAAAATACTTAGAGGCATCATATATTTATTTGTCTTACACATATTATCATTAATAACAATATAATGAAACTAAGACTATAAATATTTCTGGTTAGGAAACATCCAAAAAATCCTGGAAAGCCTATTATCGATATCTTCAAAGTTTATTTTAAAATACTAGTTAGAATTTTCTTGCTGTGTTTTTGAAAAATATTTATATAAAGTTATGGTACCGTTTTTAATCTAGACGTCAGCTTTGTATTTATATATCATATTGTAAAGATTTCTATTATAAATTTCTTGATCAGAAAATTTATTTTTTAATATTTATTTTAAAATAGTTGCTTCTAATTGATATTT